CAAGGCTGCGTGCTGGCACCAACCCTGTTCAGCATAATGTTCTCAGCCATGCTGTCAGACGCCTTTCAGAACAGCTCAGTGGGAGTTAATCTGAGGTACAGAACCGATGGGAAACTGTTCAACCTGCGAAGACTTCAGGCTGTCACCAAGGTAAAGGAGACTGTGCTACGAGATCTCCTCTTTGCTGATGACTGTGCCCTTAATGCAGGATCGGAGCAGGAAATGCAAGCCAGCATGGACAAATTTGCAGCCGCTTGTGACAACTTTGGCCTCTTCATCAACACGAAGAAAACTGAAGTGATGTACCAGCCAGCTCCAAAAGCCCAATATCAAGAGCCTACCATCACAGTAAAGGGACAAAAGCTGCAAGCAGTGGGCCAATTTACGTATCTTGGTAGTACCCTCTCCCGTGCAGTGACAATTGACATCGAGGTCAACTGTAGAATTGCCAAGGCAAGTTCTGCATTTGGCAGACTGCGGACTAACATGTGGGACTGCCGTGGAATAAGTCTTGCTACCAAGCTTAAAGTTTATCAGGCAGCAGTGCTAACTACCCTATTGTATGCTAGTGAGACCTGGACAGTGTACAGGAGGCATGTTAGGCAACTGAACTACTTCCACATGATTTGCCTTCGTAGAATTCTGAGGATCCGGTGGCAGGATAAGATACCAGACACAGATGTCCTCTCTAGAGCAGGCCTATCATCAGTTTACACTCTGTTGATGAAAGCCCAGATGCGCTGGGCAGGCCATGTTGTAAGGATGCCAGATCATCGCATCCCTAAACAGCTCTTCTATGGTGAGCTGTCTCAAGGAAAGCGATCGCACGGGGGACAAAAGAAGCGATACAAAGACACGTTGAAAGCTTCTCTAAAGTCCCTGGATATTAACACCATCTCTTGGGAACTTCTGCCGCATGATCGACCGACATGGCGCACCTTGGTGTACCAGGGTTGCCAGACATATGAACACAGAAGGACAATCTTGGCACAAGAAAAGCGAGCACTCCGCAAAGCCAGAGCTGCAAATGCTGAAGTAACAGTATCTACATTTCTTTGTTCAGTATGTGGCAGAACATTCCGTGCCAACATTGGTCTTATTAGCCACCTACGGACACATCGTTGATGGCCCATAACCCACAAGATGTCAAGGTCTTTATCGAAATCGATGGACGAACAACATGATCACACGATCAAAATCGCACGGGGGACAAAAGAAGCGATACAAAGACACGTTGAAAGCTTCTCTAAAGTCCCTGGATATTAACACCATCTCTTGGGAACTTCTGCCGCATGATCGACCGACATGGCGCACCTTGGTGTACCAGGGTTGCCAGACATATGAACACAGAAGGACAATCTTGGCACAAGAAAAGCGAGCACTCCGCAAAGCCAGAGCTGCAAATGCTGAAGTAACAGTATCTACATTTCTTTGTTCAGTATGTGGCAGAACATTCCGTGCCAACATTGGTCTTATTAGCCACCTACGGACACATCGTTGATGGCCCATAACCCACAAGATGTCAAGGTCTTTATCGAAATCGATGGACGAACAACATGATCACACGATCAAAATTTGGATGCTTGGCAATTGGTTCACTTATGATAGTAGCAGTGTCCCAGGGTCATGTGATCACTTTTGGTGACCTTCTCACAAAGTTAATAGGGATGACAGAGTCACTTGACAACCATATTACTAATTTAACAATAGTTAAATTAGATTCACTTAACAACTGGGGCAAGAAAGGTCGTAAAATGGGGCAAAACTCACCAACTGTCTCAGCAACAGAAATTTTGGGCTCAATTGTGGTCATAAGTTGAGGATTACTTGTACATCAGAAGCCTCCCTAGTCTTTTGAGCACTGCTTGACTTTAAGGCCTTTAGTCCCCATCCATCCTGCTTCCACCTCAGCACAACTAAGTCAAAGCTGAGATTAGTAATGGAGACACATTTTGCACACTACTGCATCACTGTGCAAAAGAGTGAAGATCAGATGAATAACCAACAGATGGAGATAATTTGTTCTAGTATGCATACCAAATGGAATACAATACTGATTTTTATCTCAAAGGTATTGGAGTTAGCCACAACTTTCTAACCACCACTTCCATGGAACTTTTACACAAAAATTTTAGCCTCCTGGCCCAGAAATCAAAGAACAGTCTATTTTTTCCCCACTTTCAGTGATGGTACCATACACAGTATTCATCTCATTTCCAGAAATGGATGCTAACAAAACTATCAACATTGGGAATTGCAGCAAATCAAACCAAACTTCTTTGTATTAAATTGGAAGCGTGCATGTAAGATCCTTGGAATGTGAGAATATTTTTCAAAAAGTCAGTTGCCATTGTTGGGACTTTGCTCTGATATGTAACTTGAGTGTAGTGTAGTGCTGATCGTAGGATTCTTAAAACTTTCTGCTAAGCAAGGGTTCCCCAGCACCCGGTCCGTGGGCTGACACCGGGCCATGCAAGCAAAGCCCCACCCACACAGTGCAGGCAGCACATGAAACCATATTCCCACCAGTCCGCAGAAGAACCTCTTTTCATAGAACTGGTCCCTGGTGCCCCAAAGATTGGGAGCCACTGCTCTAAGCCATCGCACAAAATGTTTAAACTTGTTTTCCCAGTCTGCAATCTGAGCAATCTGGAAGCCCACCTAGGTGTAAAAAAAAAAAAAAAGCATCATCCATATCTGCCTTTTAACATTTGATGCTTGATAGGGGTCTTAACTGTAATTCCTGATATCTAGATTGAAGAAATCTTCTGCATGAAAGACAGCTTGAAAACTGTGAAAACTTCATTAATCCACTATTCTTCAAGGCAATCACTTGGTCATAAAAGCTGACCATACAAGCGGGGCTTCAGCTAACCTTTTTTACATAAAAAATGAACTTACCTTCACATCATCTGTATTAAAATCTGCATCATAAAAAAGTGAATTCTGGATCCTATACAGATTGTGGAAATAAAATACATTTGCACATATTTGGGAGTCCTTTTGCATCAATTACTCAAGTGAACAAGTAATTGGAAGAGGATTGTCTATAATCCTGGAGTTCCATCTTTTGATTACTATGAATATGGCCCAAGTATCACTATCCTTTCTTCTTATTTTGATTCTTCTTATCCAATTTAGTTCCAGCTATAAATGCACTATTTTTTTCTTGTAAAAATAAAAAAACAGAACTCTAAGAAGCCAAGTTTGAAGCTCCAAATTAAAATAGTTCCTTGTACAACATCATGGACAGAATTATTATTTTTTAGGCCACAGAAAAGCAAACCTGGTTCAACATCTTGAGAAAATTTCATTGCCACACATTTACAGTGAAAAATCTATCATAGCCTTTCCCAACCCGATGAGCTATAATGACAATTATCCGCAAATAAGGTGCCTACTTTGAAGGGCACCAAGCTCGAGAAGGCTTATAATTTCAAGAAGAAAGAAAAGGTGGTAACGGTAGGCTGGGCTTTTGCTTTACGACAAAGAAATGGTCTCAGGGCAAGGAATACAGGTTATGTTATGTAACAATCTGTCTAGATGATTAGAAGATCTATTATCTTTTCTATTAATTCTATTCGAATATCTCTCGCTGAGCTGTACTAATCTTTGAAGGGCGCATGGTGAAAATAAGGCATTATGAGAAAATGGCTCTAGCATAATTAAAAGACAAGTATTGCTTTTGTACTAATAACTAAAAAGCAACTAGCATTGCCTGGTATAAGTCTTCCATGTCTGGTATTCACTTGCCATTTTTTTATGGGTAATAGACAGAACTTGAGAGATCACTGCATGGGGCACTGTATATCTGCAGCAGTCAGAAAGTGAAAAGGTTATTTTTAGGCAAGAATTCTTAGGCATTTGAATATTTTTCTCTTCTAGCAGATTATGTTCATATAAGATGCTTAACCTGGCTCTTGAATTAACCCATTATCTGGGTTTACACAATGCACTGGAACTTAATAATCAAATGAGTTGGATTCACACAACACATAAGCCACTCCCAAAGAGTAACGAACATTAAGTGTGTCAAGCAGTGCTACAGCTTGAGCGTTTGTTGTCCTGATAAATGTATTATGTCAATGTGGCTACCACAATTAATTACAAGAGATCCTTGGTCAGGATTATGTCAATAAAAAGGGTTGAACTGCATTAGGTGTCATCTACTGATTCCCTCTAGCAAAGGACTGTCTAACTCAGACATGTCAAACACAAGGCCCGGGGACCAGATGTGGCCCGCGAAACGATTTCATGTGGCCCGCGAAGCCATCCTGGAAACAGTGAAGGAAGGCCCCCTCTGCCTTGGCCCAGACCCAGGCCAGCAGGGAGTCAATGTACAATTTTGTGGTGGCCATCTATCCTGAAACGCATTCAGTCTTAGCTCCACAAGGCCGTCTAGAAACAGCAAGGAACCAGCCCCTGCCGCTTCGGCCCCACCCCCTGGGTGCATGCTGGGGACGTGCCACCCTTTGTGAGGAATGAAGAAATGGACCATGCCTTGGCGCTTGCCATGTAGAGCTGGCCATGCCCACCCAGTAGGCCACACCCACTCCATCCACGCCCACCCAGTAGGCTGCACCCCCCCCACCCCCCTGAGCAACCACAATACTGATGCGGCCCTCAATGAAATTGAGTTTGACACTCCTGCTCTAACTTCTTCTACCACTACTTCCCATGACCCAACGTGAACAGCATTAAAATCTTAGCAGCGGTCTCCTCTTGAAATACCCAAGAATATACTTTTGAGATATTCTTTGCTGAATGTGAGGAAAGAGTGTTTTGCCAGTGTTGTCCCTCACAAAGAAGAAACAGACTGTGTGCAATAGATCAATAGGATTACTGGCAATGAAAAGTACCAGATGGGAGACCTGCATTAATCCCTTTATATAGTCATGGCCAGCCCTTAGAGTCGGCCATAATAAAGTTCACCTAACCTGTCGGCCAACCCACTGAAATCATACCGAGCCCTGTTATACAAATTTCCACGTCACTACAAATTTAGGTTGACAATTTTCCCATTTATCAAAGTTGTAATTTAAAAAAAAAAAAAGGCAAAATACTCCACAGCAGCTTCCCCAAGAGGAGATCTCCATCATTTTAAAAGATTTCAACCCTCTGCCAATGCAGACTGGTCATTTCTCAAAAAAATACATTGCTTTTGCTTCACAACAAAGAAATGGTCTCAGGGCAAGGAATACAAGTTGTTACGTAACAATAAATCTGTCTAGATGACTAGAAGTTCTATTATCTTTTCTATTAAAAGAGAATGAGGGAGGAAGGAAAAGGAGATAGAGAAAGAAAAAAGACCTCCAACTGGTGCCACCACAATATTAGTGGTTTAGTATAGTCCAGGAAGTCAGCTCTAGTAAGGCTCAGCACCTTTTTAAAGTAATCAGTTCCGTTCTACTGTGACTCTCTAGGTAGAACACAAATTGGTATTGGGGAACTGCCACCTTGCCTATCCCACTGCAGGTAGACTGGATTCTTTCTAATTAAGCCATATCAACAGGTAAATCTCTGCAGATACTGAACTGAAAGTTCATCGGTCATCTGGCTCATTATGACACTAAGCTAAGTGGTGGTCTGGTTCCATGCTTTGGACCTTAGTGAGCTTTCAATGCTGGGAAACAAGTTTTCTTTCCTTCTGGGAAGATCTTGGCTAAGTAGTGTGGGTTCTCCGATGTCGAACCAGGTGCGAATTCTGACCAAACTTCTTCCCGCAGTCAGGACACTTGTACGGTCTCTCTCCTGTATGGGTGATCTGGTGTCGGATGAGATCAGAACTCCAGCGAAACTTCTTCCCACATTGGCTGCACCCGTACGGACGGTCTCTGGCATGGGACACTCGATGCCTGGTCAACTCTGAGCTCTGGTAAAAACTTCGGCTGCACTGAGCACATCGGAAAGGTCTCTCTGAGGCATGGGTCCTCTGATGACGAGTCAGCTGGGAAGTATGACCAAAACGTTTGCCACACTGAGGGCACTGGTGGGGCTTCTCCCCAGTATGGATCCTTAGGTGAGTGAGAAGATGTGAGTTACGGCTAAATGTTTTCCCGCATTCTGAACACTGGTGAAGGGACTTTCCTGCTGGGTGAGAGCCTCCAAGAGAGTTGAGATGTGCAACTGGATTCTCTCTTGTGTCTCCAAATCTCACATCACATTGTTGACTCATCCGTTCACCACAATTCTCACCCAACATTTTCTCCCGGGAATTCCCAGGGAGCAATCCCATTTCCATCATGCCTCCAGGCAAAGAGTGGTTCTCTCGGATTCCATTGGCCAGTAGAGAGCCTGTCAAGAAAGAAAAAAAAAGTCTTTCATGAGGGCAGATGAAGCTGACAACATGCAGCTACCACGTTTCCCCAAAAGTAAACCCTACCCCAAAAATAAGCCCTAGTTTTGGGGCAAGGCACACACTTAAAAAGCAAGCTAGGGCAGGGGTGTGGACCTGCCCCATGTGCCCCACACCCACTTACTTTGCAGCCAAGTCTCTCCTCACCGGCCCACTTCTTCTGCGTTGTTTTCTGCAGCCAGGCCTGCATTTCTCAGTCACAGGCCTTTCTAGAAGACCACTGCAGCCGAGAATCAAGCTATGTATTAAATCCATAGCTCAGCACTCGGCTGTATAAGCCTTCTGGAAAAGCCTGACTTTATCATAGATCTTGGACATTTTTCTCCTTTACAATATCAAACCATTGGATGTTGCCTACTATCCTTCTCAGTCTAATAAAGTCTTCTCTCATGACGTCTAATATTGAGGTATGGATGAAGTTTCTCATCATCAATTATCTGAAATTCCAGGACAGCATGGTCACTGCCTCCCAGTGTCCCAGTTACTTTTTCTTCCTCAGCCATTTCCTCTCTTTGGTGGCCACTTTTGACATTCATCCATAACAACTTATTTAATTCTATGATATCTCTGATTTCCTATCACTGAGATTCGGGACTTCAAAGTGCCTAATATTGTCTTTGAAAATGGTAGGCTTATGTTTAAGATCTTTGTTCTTCTACGTTAGCTTGAACTGAATCTGTTCTGTGATAAGCTCCTGGTCACATCTTTGTTCTTCTAACTGAGCTCTTCCATCTCCTTATTTAAAAATATACAGTCAATTTAATTTCTGTATGTTCCATCTAGTAATGTCTGTATACATAGTTTTGGTTGTCTGTCAGACTAATAACTGATCAAAAATAAGTTGGCGTAGGATAAAGCCATGGTGGCGCAGTGGTTAGAATGCAGTACTGCAGGCTACCTCTGCTGATTGCTGGCTGTCTGCAGTTTGACAGTTCAATTCTTACCAGCTCAAGGTTGACTCAACCTTCCATCCTTCCGAGGTTGGTAAAATGATTGTTGGGGGCAATCTGCTGACTCTGTAAACTGCTTAAAGAAGGGTGTAAAGCAGTGTGAAGCAGTATATGAGTCTAAGTGCTATTCCTATAAAAATCTATTTTATGCCAGAGCATCCATACAGATTACCAATAGAAGTAAACAATTTTTAAAATTATTTCCACAGATTAATTTTTAGTTCTTGGCTGAAGATTCTTTAATTATAAAGAATAATTATTGGCCACATAAGTGCAATTATATTGCTCTTACATAATTATTGGCCATACAAGAGCAATGATTGTTGGATTTGGAAAAGCAAGAGTAGAGGATAAATATACAAAAAGAGGAACCATGAGCAGCTAACTATAGGCAGAAATAGTTGAAGTTTGATAGAATGAAAAGAAGAGCTGACTCATTTATGATTGATTTTGCTCAGTTCTTCATTTCTCAGATTTTAAACTTGTTCTATTCCACGTCCATTGTAATTAGCAAGCTTTGATTTCAAAGAGCAGATTTAGGTGAAATAACTGTATTCCAGTTTGCCTATAGATTCAGGACTTGGAATCAGATAAATTTACATCACACTGTTAATGAACATCTCAGTCATCCAGGTAATAGTTGTCTCAAAGGTGCTTTTTGAAAAGACAACTAGACTTTATTTTTCCTTGAAGACATTTTGCTTCTCATCCAAGAAGCTTCATTGGTTCTGGCAGGATGGTGGGGGCGATGGAAGGATTAGATCTGACAGGATGGGATGGTGGTGGAAGGATTATATTTCTTTACAGTCCTCTGGTCATTAGCACTCTCTCTGAGAGCTTTTGAGGTCATTTGGGGGTTTATCTGTGCTTTCAGGGTCACTTGTATCAGAGGGCAAATGGGGATGTAATCTTCTGGGAACTGCTGAAAGGACTGTGTTGTAGACAGAAGATAGGTGGTGTCATACTCCTCCCCTCTGTTGAGAGAAAGCTGCTCAATGTTAACATAAATAGCCTCTTTTACCCCTCTTTCAAACCAATGTGTCCTCTGTATACAGAAAGTTCACATTCTGGACTTTTGCCCCCACCATTTTGCTAGAACCGATTAAGCTTCTTGAATGAGAAGCAAAATATCTTCTTCTTCCTCCTCAAGGGAAAAATAGTCCAGGTGCCTTTTGAAAAAGCACCTTTGAGACGATTAATGAACATTTCTCTACTGTCCCTAGTTCAGATTAAAAAAAAAAAAAAGGCTGAGGCAAATAATTGCAGGGGCAACAGTTGGACCAAATTAAAAGTTCTGGTAATGGGAATCACTGGAGTTTAACACATGATATCTGGAAGCAGCCAGATTAGGCTGCATTAATGGAACGTCCTTCATCTATCTAATCCAGAGCTTTTCAACCTTTTCACTCATTGTACCACTTTTAGGATATGGCAACATCCAAGTACCACCTGTCACCTAACAAGGTGTCAAAAACTTTATGGCCAAAAAAAAAAAAAGAGAGAGAGAGAGAAAAGTGATATACAGGTAGTCCTCGACTTACAACAGTTCGCTTAGTGACTGTTCGAAGTTACAATGGCACTGAAAAAAGTGCTCCCAAGCCACAGCTGAGACAGTGCCCAGCAGCGCTCTTCCTCCTGTCCAGGTTTTCATTGTTGTGAGCATTTCTGTTGAGAATTGGCAGTGGGGGTGGGATGGGGGGGGGGTGTTTGGTTTTTATTCCCCCCATCTGCTGGGTGGTTGCAGCAGGTTTTGGTCACTTCACATGACCCTGGGACACTGTGACCGTCATAAATATGAATCAGTTGCCAAGCATCTGAATGTAAATCACAAGACCCTGGAGATGCTGCAACATTCCAGCTGATCAATGCTTCTTCTGGGCTCAGCAGAAGTGCCAGGATCAGTGCCCAGCTCCAGCTGGAGCCTGGCACTGATCCTGGTGCTTCCATTGAGCCCTGACAGCCCTGCAGCTCCAGCCATCTCTCGCTCAGGCCTGTGCGGTGCTGCCACTGGTTCAGCTCATTCCCCTCCCCCGCTACCACTTTTCTAGGATGGTTGCGTACCACCTGCCAGGTGCCAATGTACCACAGGTGGTACCCGTACTACAGGTTGAAAAACCCTGATCTAATCCTACAATCACTTTAGTTAGGCTGAACAATATATTACTGTTCTAAGTTCTATTTCAAATCTCTATCCTCTATACTCAGTCCATGGAGCTCCTGTGAAAAGTGTAATCAACATATACCCTCCATTTATTTGGAATAGAAAGAAGTTCAACTCATCTGAAATGCATCAAATGGAGGAAGACAGACTTCAACTATAAGATGCGTTTTTCTCACTGAACTCTCAAATGCAATACACACAAATGAGATCAAATGAGATAGGATTTAGATACAAAATCATTTAATTTTTGTAGTGGTATAGCAATTAAAGGCACTGGGCTAGAAACTGGAGACTGCAAGTTCTAGTCTTGCCTTAGGCTGTCTGGGCCCGGCTTTCTCTCTTAGCTTAGAAAGCAGGCAATGGCAAACCACTTCTAAAAAATCTTGACAGGAAAACTGTAGGGACTATCTAGACTTTTACCAGAAGTCATGATTGACTCAAAGGGACAAAAAGAAAAGGTGCTACATTACTAGAAGAAATTGAATTTTAACATTTATTTTCTTTTTCCATCTTCAGCTCTTTTTCTTTTCAAACATCTTGGTAGAGTACCTTGTTTAGCTGCTCTAATGAATGAAGTAAAAAGTGTTCAGATAGATAAGAGATAGATAAGTTAGATTATATTCTCTCTTCCGCCTACATCAAACTGCTGTCCGCTAAAAATGTGGAAGGAATTTCTGGGAACTGGAGAAACTTAAATATTTTTTATCATAGTTACTATTAAATAACATGGTTTGCACAGCGCTACCAAATCTTTACTGCAAACATCTGGATGCCCACTAAATGGAAGTAAAGCATTAGAATTCTTAAATGAATATTCATCTTCTCTCATAGCCAATCATTCCATAGATTTATTTTAAAAAACTGAATTTCTTAACTCAACTATCTTTCAGATATTGCTGAACTACAAATTCTTGTTCTAGCTCCAGTGGCTGGAGATAATGGGAATTGGACAATTCCTCATCTGTTACAGACAAAACTTCCTTAAAGAGTTTATCACTGATTTATTTTTCCTGTAGCAACTGATTCCCTTTAGCAGGAAAAAAATTCCTAGAACATTCTGCTTCTCTCTTCCTTCTTACCTGTGTCCTGAAGGCTTTGTGGTTCCTGTTTTGGGATGCAGGGCATCTTGAGAGCAGAGCCTGGGATAGGCTGGTTTAGTGTTATATCTGATGAGGATAAGCACTCGGGATGGGGCAGCAGCGAGGCTGAAGGATCCCACGGTGCTCCAGGTAAAATCATTTCCTGTGGGCTTACCTGTTCAACCTTGACCCGCACTGTAACCTAGCAACAAGGACAACAGTGGGTCACTAAGGGAAATCTACCCATTCCACTTATTTGTTTAAGCCTTAAATCTAAAGGAGAATTAATTAGCCATTTAAGCGTCCATGGTTGTTGCTTTTCAATTCCCATTCCAAAAACTTTTCAAAAGGATACAGATCTGATAACAAGTCCATCTAGCACCCTACTCATTGGAGTAACCAAAAACCTCCAGTCTTCTGAAGGTTTTGAATTTCAGCATTCATCAGTTTTAACCAATATGGCTAATAACAAGAGACTGTAAAAACTGCCATCCAAGGCATTTGGAGATGCTGCTTTTGGCTTGTTTCACCAGAGTCCCCCTGCATGCTTGCATATGAAAAGGCCCTTAACAATTGATGACCAGCCATTTCCAGCCTGAATAAATCAGGAAGAAACGTGGTTGGCTAAATGCAGGTTCATTTGCTAATGAGAAAACCTGTCACATGACCCAGTCTTTTCCGCCTTCTTTGTATATAAAACAGGAAAAGGTTTAAAGCCTAATTAAAAAATAATCCATAAACAAATCAACACATTAAAAAAAGATACTGCTGTTGAAATCCTGTGCCAACTCAAAGAACTTTTACCCATGTATCATCCTTCCTCTATTCATGACTGAGCTTTTTCCTGCCAATTTTGCATCATTTAGATTGCAAGATTGCATTTGAGCAAAGCCTTGGCTATTTTTATATCTATGAAACACTGATACAATCATTAAAACACTGATACAATTCTCCTTTGCCTTGTGGGTGGGTGAAGGGGGGGGAGGCGGAATGAGAAAACATGTTGGCATGCTAAGGATGTTAAGTTTTCATCACAATGTATCTCCTAGAATCAAGAGGATTAAAAATTCCCTTACCTGCTGCTCCCACATCCCTGCCTCTCGCCGTCCCATCTGGTATCCTTCCACCAAGGCTACCGCTTGGGCACACGTCTCAGGGCCTCGTTCCCACACCCAGCTCTGGATCTCTTGGGGCAAGATGGTCAGGAACTGCTCCAGGATCAGCAGTTCAAGAATCTGCTCCTTTGTGCGACTCTCAGGCTTCAGCCAACGCCGGCAAAGCTCCCGGAGCCTCCGACAAGCCTCCCGGGGGCCTTCAGAGTCCTGGTAACGGAACTGCCGGAAACGCTGCCGCTGCATTTCCACATTGGCGCCTGCCTCTCCTCGCAGGCCAGAAGATTTGGACTTTCTATGCTCATTCCTGCCACCTCTGGCATCCAAGCCATTATGTGGTGGCTGGGCTTTTCCGAGAGCTGGCATAAGGCGGCTCATCCACTCTCCTCTCGGCCACTGGCATGATTCAGCCGCACGCTCAAAGGATGACAGGTAGGCTTCAATGTCATCCACAGGTGCAAGCTCAGGTAGTTGAAGGTTGCCCCAGCCAGGGGCTGGGGGTGGGACAGGCACAGGGGCTGGCATGACATCAGCAGGTGTCCTCAGGCTTTGCACCATCTCCTGGCACTGAACCTCCCAAAGCTGTGGAATTGGGTCGCTCCTTACTTGGGGAGGAGTTGCCCACCTCAACAGATCACTAATGGTGCCTGCCTGGACAACAAGAGGAGTCTTCCCCGGAGCATCCCATTCCCAACCAGCTTCAGGACATGGGGGACCAGGCTCTTCTATTTTCACCCTGGGTGCCATTGTTTCTTCTAATGGGTACAAAAAGTGGAGGCCCAATGCTGGAGGAGGTACTTCCTGTGTGGCAGCCATCTTTTACTCCCGCAAGAAAGGAAGCTCTAGTCCTCCAAGCTTCCTGCAGACAAAAGTAGAACTACCCCAGCGAGAGGAGACTGGGCCGATTGAGCCGACTGAAAGAGAGCTTCAATGCAACGTGCAGTCCCAGGGAGCAAGATAGGTATAAGACACCCAACCGGAAAGGATGGACAATCTTTAAAGGTATCCTATTGCCGGTGATGTGGTGATTAAGTAAAAGGGCACCTCCCTGATACAGAAAAGAAAAACACCATTAAGAATTACGCTCAGAAGAAGCAGGTCCATTCTTAAATATTGCTTTCGTAACCATTGTTTGCCTACTACTAATACAGGTTTCACTCCTAGGCAGTGGCAGCTTGGTGCTAATAAGCTATCTGAGGGTCAAATGATCACATATGGTTATTTTCCCTGGCAGCCTCAATCAAAGGCCTGGATAGTAATACAAAATGGTCTAGTTTTCGACAAAATGGTAACTTCCAGATGTCCTGGTTTACAACTCAAACAGGCCATGATGGATGGGGGCCATGGGAATTATAGTCTATAAGGCATCAAATAGGGAACTCAAATAGGGAACTCTGAATTAGGATATATCTGCTCCACAGAAGGGAATTTAAGAATGTTCGTTCTGTCTTCAAAAAGTCCATCATTTCTGGAATTTAGCTTACAATAATATCCAATTAGATATCAGGAAATCATCAGCAGAGAAGGAAGAAATGCATTTCCCCTTCTGTTTTTAGAAGCATATAAGTGATTTACTGCTTTGGAAGATTATATTTCAATATAGAAATCACAACTATTAAGTGGAACCTTTGAGAAGACACAATAGGATAGAGAGCTATTATTCAGGATGCCAGCCCTCTGTTCCATTCCTACCTCCTTCGGGAATACTTTGATTCCCTGGACTAAATGCTTTGTATGGCCCTCCTATTTTTCCCCACACCTTTGTGGGCTTTTCTGTGAAAAAAAAATACAGAAAGAAAAAAATAAGTAAATATAATTAAAACTAAAAGGTGGCATCTGAATACCCCATAAAATTCTATGAATGAGAGAGGGCTGTTTTGCAATAAATGCATTGTCAAGAAGCAGTTTTAACTACAGGTAGTCCTTGACTTATGACCATAATTGTTCCTGGCCATTACAGTTGTAAAATAGGTCATCATCAGTGACCAACCTGATTTTACAATGTTTTTTGCGGCGGTCATAAAACCCATTGTTTGCAGTGGGCTGTTTTCTGCTGGAAAGGAAGTAAACTGCCAGTTTCCTGCAAAAACATGGTAAATCATGGTTATATGACTGAAGTACTCTGCAAATGGTCATAAATGCGGGCCAGTTGCTGAGTGATCAAAATGCAATCATGTGACAGGGTAATGCATCTTTGGAACTGGGTTGTAAGTAGCTTTGGGGGGGGGGTCCCATGTAATTTCAAATAATCACTCCGTGATCAGTCATAAATTGAGGACTACTGTACCTGCATCAAAGTTCTTCCAAGTCATCCGAATAACTTCATCTGTTCCTTCTACATATTATATGGAGTCTTCCTAAGTCTGCTTGTGCTACCATTTTTCAATCATTGGTGCTCTTTTTCCTACATAAGATTTCCTACATCAGCATTCATAGATAACTTTCAGAAACAGGGAATAAAAATAATTTCCTCCTTCAGGAATATGCCTAATCTCTGCTTAATGTCATCTCACTTATGTGACAGGCTAAAAGTGTTTAAATTTCTTCAGCTTTAAAAGTAGAGGTTCCCAGCTTAGTTCTGCATCTGGTATCCCTTCTATCACATCCTGCAGTGAATCTCAGAAGAGAATAGAATTACTTACACTGATTATTGCTGGGACTACAATTTAACATCCACTGATTTGGGAGTAAGTCTAACTGAATGATTTAGGGCAGTATTTCTCAATCTTGGCAGCTTAACAATATGTGGACATCAACTGAAAGAATTCCCTGGCCAGCCATACCAGCCAATCCCATTGTAGCTGAGGAATTCTGGGAGTTGAAATCCATACATCTTCAAGTTACTAAGGTTGGGAAACACTGATTTAGAGCTTTTAGCCCTCTCTAACTCATAGGGTTGACACAGGAAAAATAGATGGATGCTATCTTAAACTCATCAGTAAAAAATGGGTTATAAATCTTATCAATACATCTTATCAATAAATCTTATTAATACATCTGATAATTTCTAATAAGAATGAAACTAGTCATGGAATGCCTGCTTATGATCAATATAATTGTAAAATATACTATGGTTTGATCATTTAGGCATCTCCTAAAATTCATACATTGCCTTGTATAAAGTTAGTTTAGCATTTTATTCTAACCAAGACCAGCAGTGATGTAGTTTCATCCTTGTGGAAAAAGATAATCCTGAGCATCTTCCTTTAAAAAATTAAGTAGATTGTCTGAAGGGTGTCTCTCTATCTGAGAGTTTGAAGTCACCGCATAATGTGACCTGATATAAAGCAGCCTTCCAACATTCATTTCTTTGGAGAAGGGCTGCAATCCAGTAATAGTACACCAGGATTCCTGCTTCAATCCTTAACAATCCTATGAAAGACAGCATGTGGGGAAATTCTTCTTTAGGTAGCAAAGAGCTTTTCCTACCTTTCATTCACTCAGGATTATAGACTTAAGAACTTGATTTGACTTAAATGGAAACTCTTTCTCCCTCCCCAAGAACTAAAAGTGTACAAAACCATACAAATAATTTCCAAAGGTCTTGGAGAAGGATCTACCAAAATGAAATATAACTCAGAATTTTACATTTGGAATGAGGAATCATTTTCTTACTGCTATTAAACAATTTGGAACCTGAAATTCTTAAGCCATCTGCAGGATGCAAAATAGCTACCAACAAATCTAACCCTTTCCCTCGTGCTCACTCCTGGAACAGAACAGATTGGAACAGGCAGACAAATTATCTGATAAATCATTTTCTGTATTATTGCTTCTGGTATTTATTTATCCATTAATTTTATCGGCAAGATTGTAGCATTATGATTTGCCCTACAGCAGTGTTTCTCAACTTTGGCCACTTGAAGATGTGTGGACTTCAACTCCCAGAATTCCCCAGCTAGCAGACTCGAATTCTAGGACTTGTAGTCCACAAATCTCCAAGTGGCCAAAGTTAAGAAACACTGCCCTACAGGGTTACAACAAATCAAAATTCACAATTTTGGACTACATGGATAATAGCATGTAAATCTAGATTTTAGTAAGCCACACTGGCTATATTTGCATAACACACCCTTTGGGGATTCATATAATGCATTGAACCATCAACTTGGTTGGGTTAGATTGGGTTTACGTAACAAACTGTACTTCCAATCCCCAGAGTATAACTAGCTAAAGTTGATATAATGTACAAAAGCATCCACTATATCTATAATTGACTTCACTAAACATATCATGTGAATTTAGCCATTGCAGTTAGGCTACTCAACTGTTCATTAAGGTAAAATGATGGTGAAGATAAAGCAGAGATGCTTTTTGCAAAATAAGTGGCTGTACATTTTTGATACTAAGTAAATGTAAAATCATGCCCTTCTCAGTTAATGTGCGTCAGTTACAGTCTGATATGTCATTTGAATCTATAGTCTCCAGTAACTACCATTGTTTCTACCTGCCACAGAAACAGGCTGATGGAATGACTGCAAAGCAGAGTTGTTCTGACAGCAGCATCTTTACTTCTCCGGCTTCTTTTCAATCTCTGTGAACATGCAGGGAATTAATTGGGCTCAGGAGGGAGGTGGGCGAAGATCCAGCCATCCCCCACTCTGTGCCTCCAACTGCAAAGCCATTAGGCATTATTATTTCATTTTGTAAAAAACTCAAGGAAAATGCATAAGTGGCTTATATATCTGGTGTGAGATTGTTTGCTGCAGGAGTGGTTAATTTGATTACCTTTGCATCGATCAGGACCTTAGTTCCCCAATCATGCTTCAGGGTGACTTAAACTCAGCACATCATACAGGAATAGGCTTATCTAGTATACTGTAAGGAAGTCTCTAGAAAGGAGACCTTTATTTCATATCTTGCTTGTATTCATTTAGATCAAGTAAAATATGAAAAAACTTTGCTACCTTTTTTCAGCACCTAATAATATACTGATTATAGCTATCTGTTCCCAATCTGAAATCTCCCCAGGTGTTAAACAATTCCTAGAATCCAAAGCTAGCAGAGCCATTGCTGAAAGGATTTATTTAACCACATGGCTTTCATTGTTCCTGTGATTTATATACATTGGCCACACATAAAGATTTGGCAAGTTAATCCCACACTAAATGCCAGACGTTTTCTCTGGCCAACTCAAATTGAACATGGAGCATCTTGGATTTATCCCATCTTTAGGCCCAATCCCCATACAGTAAATATAGTATTCTTAAAAATCTTCCCTGCATCTCATGGCAATAATTATGAACTTGATTGGATCTGTTCTGAATCATCTGCCAATCTATTTCATTAGATATAACACAAGATTTCCCTTTACGGGGACTAAGAGGAGAAAATACCAGTATTGTACTAAATTCAGAGAACCAAGAATGGCATACAGAACTCTGTGGCTAAACTATTCTTTTCTGATTCATACATATAATTTTATCCTAAAATCAAGGGTGGATGGTCTACCTGGAATTGCAACTCCTTTGTTCTTGGGCTGCTGAAGTTAAACAAATCAACAGGAATCCCCCCCCCACCTAAAGCAAGATTTGCATGGTAACCTTCCCTAACCTGGATGATATGTTTCAACTACAATTCCCATTCTGTCTGGGAATCCTGGGAAATGAAATCCCCTATTAGGGATTTCTGGTCTCTTAAGAATGTAGCCGTGGAGCTCTTTTACTACAGAGATAGCCCTTCTGTGTATATGAACTGAGCACACTGGGGCCATCACATTAATTTTTAAAAATAATATTTTTAACACACATAAAGACCACTGGGGTTGAGTTACCTTTTCCAACACTTCCTGTCCTGGAGAAATCCAGAATCCCGCCCCTGGATGGGACTAAAGCAAACAAAAAACAAAAAGTGACCGAGATGCCTTGTGTTAAGTAGATCCCACTTTGTCTTCCTCAAGGCGGATCCTGGGCTATTATTCACCCCCATCCATCTTTCCTGTTACCCCCTTTTCGCGTGTAGCTGCTTGGAGAAACAGAAGGAGGCACATTCAGAAGATGAGTTTGAGCCTCTTCTCTTTTCTCTCCTTCGGAAAAACCAGGGCTCCAGGACAAGAGGCGCGTTTGCAAGAAAGCCCCTCTTCCCTTCGGAGAACAGCCACCCGCAGCCCCTCTGCATGGCGCACGAGAGGCGCCCATTCATCTCCTCCTCAAGGAGCCAGGTATTCTGCTCCTGGCGCCAATCCAGCCTCCTTCTTTCCTCTCCGCCTCTTTTCTAACGGACCCGGCAAGAGGAGCCCTGTGTCCCGGGGGAACCGCGGACTCCTCGCCGCCGCCCTCCTTCCTCCCCGAAGAACTGCAGAAGTTCTGGTCCCGAGTTTCGAGTCCCGTCCTGGCGGAACCGCTGGAGCCCGGGCTCCCCCCGCCAGCTCTAACGGACCTGCGCCAGTCTGAAGAACCGCCGGGTCCCGGCGCGAACCTCCCGAGCCCGACGGTTCCCCTCAGGCTCCAGCAGCCTCTGCCGCCCGCCCAAGCCCGGGAGTCCCGGCTCCAACTCTTCTCCGCTCCCCCTTTGTTTCCTGCGCCCGCCCGCCCGCCTTGGCGCGCCCCGGGCCCGGATGCGCGACCTGGGCCGGGGCGCCTCCAGCGCGGCTCTCTTTTAGGGCTCTTGTGGCGGCGGCGGCAGAGGCAGAGGCAGCGATAGCGGCAGCGGCGGCGGCTCCGCCTTGAGTTCCGCGGCGCCCATCATACCCCGGCCGGCTCGGCCCGGCCCAGCCCGTCACCTCGCCTGCGGCGCCTCACAAGCCCTTCTCTCCTTGCCCTGCCCTGGAGGTGGCCACCAGGTTGGTTCCCGGGCTGCGCCGGAGAGGCTGGGGTTAGTCCCCCCTCCACAGGGCAGGCAGTGGCTGCGATCCCTGTCAGTCAGCGCCGAAAGGAAGGGGAAGCCGGCTTGGGACAGCCCCTCGCCCAAAGGGGGAGGGGGAGACTGGGCAGGGTTGCCTTGCCACGATTGCTCCATGGAGGAGTCGCCGAGCTCGGCCCCTGGCTGGACGGTTTCCTCCGCCCGCTGGGATGCGCCGAGGTCCAATGGCGCGCATCTGGGCCACTGCTCTTTCCTTGCCTCCCCCCCGGGTTCCTTTTTCTCTTTCTCAGAGGGGCTGGAAGGTATCGAATTAGCAGCATGCTTGGGGTTGGGTTTTTTTTTTTTTTTTAATTTTTGTGCATGGCTTATGAGTATGTGCAGAGTGCTCTTCCTCCGGTAAAGAATGACCATCTCTAGGGAAGGCTCAGAGGTAGAAAGATGAAAGACGAGTTTCTGGGCATGGCCTAATAGAAAGCAGGGATGAACACGAATTTGAAAAGCCAAGCTCTTCGCCCAAGATGAGTTTCAGGGAATCACTGCAAGTCAGGAACTGCAGAACAGGGTTAGATGGATCAGTTGTTGTTTATAGACTTGGGTACTGTCAGGTGGGATTTTTAATCTGTTAACTTAATTTTTTACTAGGGTTCCAAGTGATGTCCTTATTTAACCTCCAGTATTTGCTATTTATTAGTTTTCTTTTTTAAAAAATTAATAGAAAAGACTCATTAAGGAGGAAGAGACGGGCTAAGCCTTGTCAAAAACCTTTGGAATGATCTATCCGTAAATACTTGCCATCTAAGGCAGCATGAGGCAATGCCTTTTAAAAGGAGCACAATACAACATGGTGCCTCTCTGCACATGTTGCTGAAGTTAGAAACACCAAACTTTGCCTGCACTCAGATATGGGTTTATCAAGGAAAGAGTATGAGATAGAAATGTATCTTACCTACCCTCCAGTCAATTTGCATAATTCATAGTGACTGGCATAAATTTAAAAATTTCTAAAACCAAAAAAAAAAAAATCAAAATATTTTTTTAAAATAAATAGCATTTACAGATAGCAAACTCAACAACTCTTGAATTGTTTCTTAACCAGAGATCACAAGGAATCTTTGCCCATGCCTGGTGAACTTTTTTGACAAAATTTTCAATAGAACAGGATCATTGAAGAAAAAGCCCTGGAAGACTGCCCAAACTTCTGAATGATGCAGCATGCTGAGCTGGTACTATCCTTGTTAATGCCTTATATGCATACAAAGGCATACAATCATATGCTCTGCACAATGTGGGTTAATGGTTGAGAAACTGGGCAGATTTCATCCTTGATCCCAGAAGCTCATTGAATTATTTGGGGCCCATCTTAGCTCTCTGTCTCAATAGGATTGAGGAAAAATAGGATCTAGGACTATGGATGCCAATTTAAATTCTTCGAGGCAAAATGGAATATAAATTTAATAACTAGCACTACTGGTAAAAATCCTGAAAAAAAACCAAGAGTTCTGGATTCTTGCTTTGGTGGTTGGCTAGAAATTATGGTTATTCGGTAATCTTACTAGCAACTCAATATCTGAGCATGAAGGGTCAGAAATGTTAGAACCATCATTATTTTTTAAAATGTATTTATTAGATTTTTTTAATCCTGCTTTTATTACTTTATAAGTAACTCAAGATGGTAAACATACCTAATGCTCCTTCCTCTTCCTATTTTCCCCACAATGGTCCTGTGAGTTGGGTTGGGCTGAGAGAGAGAGAGAGTTTTAATGCCTAAGGTAGGACTACAACCTACAGTTTCCTATTTCTAGCATGGTGCCTTACCCACTAGACCAAACTTTTGAAAAAGAGCCCAGGGAAGTGGGTAAGGCAGCTTTCCAAGAAGTGATATCTGAGCTGGAAATCTAGGTCTTTTAATCCCAAAACTGATTATGTGATGGGAAAGTAAGATTCATTGCATTTTGCAGAGTGCAATTACCTGAGAAGAGAGAAATTTCCCTACAAATGGTCTCATAACAACAGTTTAATATTTTGTTGGGCCTCCGAGCCATTCATAACAAAAAGTGCTTCCAAACCATTGAATATATACCTACTTGGTTCCCCCCTCTTTTTTTTTTTATAATACAGACGGGGGAACCAAGTAGATATATATTCAATGGTTTGGAAGCACTTTTTGTATCATCTTTACAGGGCAAGGGGAGGTGTGAATACTCTTTTAACAGTTAAGGATGACCTGATCATGTCCAGCTTTCCTTTCAGTTATGGGACAGGGGCAAGTCGTAATAAAGAATTCAGATAGTCCTTGACTTACAGCCGGTTGGTTAAGAACCATTCAGAGTTACAGTGGACAGCCTCGGAAAGGGTACTTTACAGCCTTTCCATATGTTGTAAAATGTCGTGCCACACATAGCCACCCTATGGTCATATGACCACATTTTGGACACTTGACAACCAGCTTTATTTACGGCGGGTTGCACCACCACAGTTACACGGGAGAATGGTTTTGCACTTAGAATGGTATGATTCCATTAAGACCTGCTGTAAAGCCAGTTTTAAAATCAGGTTCGGTCACATGAGTGCCTCAAAGGTGCTTTTTCAGGAGGCAATTGGACTTTTTTGTTTTTCTTTGAAGACATTTCGCTTCTCATCCAAGAAACTTCTTTAGCTCTGACTGGATGGTGGGAAATAGAAGGATTTATATTCCTTGCAGACAAGAATATAAACCCTTCCATTCCCCACCATCTGGTCAGAGCTGAAGAAGCTTCTTGGATGAGAAGTGAAACGTCTTCAAAGAAAAATAAGAAAGTCCAGTTGCCTCCTGAAAAAGCACCTTTGGGACAACCAGGACCTGGATGACTGAGAATCTCTAGAGACATGGGTGCCTCAACTTTCAACTGTCACAGCTTACAACCAAAATTTCAGTCCCAGTTGCAGTCATAAGTTGAGAACTATTTATAAGAAAACCAGAGGATAAGGATAACAGAATAACAGAGTTGAAAGGGACCTTAGAGGTCTTCTAGTCCAACCCCTTGCTCAATGATTCTGTTCATTGAAATGAATATTACAGCCTGCTTGACCAGGTATTAAATGAATTGAAGTCATGGAAGTATCATCGCCATCATCATCATCATTTGCCTTTCCTCTCTTCATCTTCCATCACGTTTATATTTGGTAGAACAAAAACACCAAAAACAACTTGTGCTATGGAAGAGGAATTCCTGTTGTTCTGTGTAGAGCAGTGGTTCTCAACCCGTGGGTCGGGACCCCATTTGGGGTCGAACGACCATTTCATGGGGGTCACCAAACAAGGCTGTCCGCCAATTTTTTCCCCTTTGGCCACGCCCCTGGCACCCGGTGATGTATAAGTGGTTGGGGGTCACCACAACATGGAGAAATGTATTATGGGGTCGCGGCATTAGAAAGTTGAGAACCACTGGTGTAGAGAGTCATTGTTAGCGAAAGACAGCAGACATGAAGTCACATCTGTGATATTTCTTCTCTCACATTTTTTTGGTTCTATTCCAGAAGCTGAACGTGGGATGCAAATGAACCTGGTAACTTTTCAGTGTCCATACTGAATCTTATTTTTTGGTATTGCTTATAAAAATCGATGCTCTGTTCTCTCTAAAGTTGGAGCTGAGCCATAAGTTCAGCTGGGTTAATTGTTAAGTGTCTCTCAAAAGAAAACTGGGAATATGTGGGGAAAATGAGTGACTCTCCTATTAGAGCTCTCTCACCTTCTCATACACTTTAACAGAATTCCTTAGAGACTGAAGGGAGTCAAGCTAGTCAAAACAAGTTGCATTTCTGGCAAACCAAGAGTTGGCTTTGCTTTAGGATGCTCCTGTGAGTGAACTTCCTGAAAAGAACCACTAGATGGCACACTGAGCCTAGACAGGAAAAGGACTTCTATCCCATCAAAGATAATAGTTTTTCTCCCCATCATTCAAAACTGGTTCTTACCTCACAAGGCTAGAGGGCCTGTGAAAGGCCTGCCTTGCTTTTCAGCCACACTGGCATTGGTCATACTGGCATCCTGATAGCTTGTTCAAGATTTAATCTAGGATGGCTTTTGGCATACCAGGTATTTGCTGAAAAATGCTGTTTGTAGAAATTCTGGAAAAGTCAACACATGGGGCAAAGAAATGCTGAGGTAACAGGGAGTGTTGGTGCTTATCTGCCCTCCAGGTTGGACCCAAGCAAAGACAGACAAAATCTGAGATGGTTAAGGATGCAACTGTTTCTACAGTGACCTTGGGAAGAAACTGCTAATTCAGAGGCAATTTATATCTGATTGGGGGGAAATCCCAACAACTCAGACTGCATTTGGTATCTTGAATTAGATCTAATATATTAGTTATAGCTTTTCAATCTGCCAAAATAAAAGATCTGTGCAATGTGGATGCTGATAGGAGAAAATTAAAAATGTAAAATTTACCAATGAACTTCCTCAACATTTACCTATTTGATTTAGATCCCACTTTTCAATCAGGAGCACACACAACACTCGTCTAATTTCCCCCAAAGCAACAATGGGTAGACTGGATTAGGAGAGAGTAACTGACTTAAAGTCACCCAGTGTGCTTCCAAGGCTCAGGGCAGATTGGAACCCAGAATCTCCTGACTTTTATTCTACCACAGAACTATTGGCTCGCTTGGGAGTTTTACACATGTGAGATGTGGTTGCTGAACTCCAGTGGATGTCACAAATACGAGTCATGAATTTAAAATTTAGCCTCAGAAATAAAACTGAGCACTCCGTGCAAGTTTATTAACCTCTTATATAAAGCAACTACTGAATGAAAAGATGATTGGAGGATCAGTGCTTTTACTAGATAAATACTATTTGCCCTATAAAAAAGCATACATCCAATTTATAGTTGCAAGAGGCTCACGGGAACAGTAATTTCTAAGAGCTAATTGCCATCATCCCTACCTCAGTTTCAGATCTCTGCTGTCCTACTAACAATATTTATTTATTTGTTTGTTTGTTAAATTGATTTGTTGCCTATCTCACTGTGGGGCTACTCTACACCTCTCACTCTCACTCTCTTTGATTTGTATCCTGCCCACGCTCACAACTTGCAAATAGATCTTATTGTTGATGACGTATCAGAAATGTCCTTAATAGGTAGCCTTCAATTTGTTTAATGGCAGCTTTGAAAAAAATGTGTTGCAGTCACTTCTAGTCATTGTAAAATGTTGTGCTTCCACACACACACCCCATAGTCACTTGACCACATTTTGGGCACTTGGCAACCAACTCACAACTACAACTGCCACAGTGCCGCGATTTGCAATTTCCTGCAATATGGGAGAATGGATTTGCTCTTATGATGGGGTGATTTTTATTTATTTTTATTTATTTGTATCCTGCCTTTATTATTTTTAGAAATAACTCAAGGTGGTGAACATATCCACAACACTCTCCTATTTTCCCCCCACAACAACCCTGTGAGGTGGGTTAGGCAGAGAGTAATTAGCCCAAAGTCCCCAACTGACATTCATGGCGAAGGTGAGATTTGAACTCAGGGTCTCCTGTTTTCTAGCCTAATGCCTTAATCACTAGACTAAACTGATTTGCTTAACTCTATGATTTGGACTTACAGCTATGTGATTCTTTTAATGATTGCCATAAAAATGATTCTAAATTGGGGTTGATCACAGTATACCTCAACTTAATGAGGGATGAAACTTATGAGTGAAATGAATTGGGAAGTGGTCCCAATTTTGGTTGCGAGTTGAGGATTATCTGTAAAAAAAAAAAAAGCATAGCCATTTGATGTTCCTTTTCATTAATTTTGAGCAAGTGTACCTTCTCCCCCCTTTGTTAAACTGTTGTAATTTGTTATGCTGTATCATTTATCAAAGTACATCAGCCTTTCCCAGCCTGAAGCTTTCCAGA